ACTCACTTGCCAATCCCAATCTCTTTCACTATGCCCATATGAATACATGCTACAGTGCGTGTCTTCATAATACAGATTGCATGCATATCAGAAGATGATTAAATTAAGAATGAGGAGAAGATCCCGAAGCATAACAAAATGTGAAGCTGTGCATTTTACAGCAGCTATGGCCAATTAGGTTAAGGTAGCAAACTACACGTTTTGTAGTCCCGGATAAAAAGTGCGTGCATGACTGTGTGTGTCAATGCACAGATCTATGTACTCCATTATATGTGTATAGGAGGAATCAAAATATCATTATGATTCTGTATGAAAGCAAATTCCATGTAAGTATGTCATTCAAAAGAATAGTTTGCAATTTTGGGACGTACACTTTCTCATTGAGCGTTAGATCGAGAGGATCAATACCAAGAATGATTATTTGCTAGTATCGAACATGTAAACCGTTAGCTTAGCATAAGGACTGGAGACAGGGTGTCAGAGCTATAGCTATTATTTTACAGAAGAATTATTTTTCATTTCAGGCATACACTATGTCTTTAATGCTTGCATGAGCACCACTGCTCTGTTAATGAGAGGTATTGATACGATTATCGTATTCCATTACTCAACGAGCCTGTCCATTAGTCCGTGTGTCTGTGTGTCAGCTGTGATGTGCTCTGTTGGATCAATGCTTTTCTACGACCACTGACCTGGAAAAAGCTGGAAAAGCTTTGCTGCTCTGCTCTCAATAGAAGGTCTAATTAAGAGCAGCACCCTTGGAGTTAGCTCTGCCCGACTAGCAAAGACTCTCGCTGGGATTGTGTTCAAACTCCCTCTCATTATATCCAAACCTGAAGCTTCTGCAGAGTAACTGCAGAGAAGCTGTGAAATTCTGTCTTTGACTTTATAGAGGATAATATGTTGTTTGTGGGTAAAAATAAACAAAAAAAACTTAAGTTCGTTAGACTGACCTAATAACATGTCTCCATAATTGTCTGCATTCAATTTTAAGTCAAGGATGTCCTTGCCTGACATAGCAGGGGGTGATTCTGGCACTAAAAGAGACCATCTGTTCAGCCTAGAGTGAAATGTATTGGATCTCTTCTAGGTCAGGCTTGCACAATAATGAGACTGGGGTAGAACTCTTTAAATTTGGGTCTGTCCACTGGACCATGGATCATCTGCCAGTTGCAACAATTAGAGAAAGAACACATCCATGCAGTCAGGACTCATGCCGATGGACGGGACAAGCAGCACAGCCTGCATGCTGTCCCAGAGAGGCAGAGCAAAGCCGGGCCAGCCATCGCTAAAATCTTGGGGCCCCTCCGGATCTCTCAGCGATCAGGTCTGGCTAGACGAGGTGATAGGCCCCTTATATCATCAGTCCTCCCCCAGCCAGCCATCCTGCCCCAGTGCCCCCAGCAGCAGCCCAGGATGCAGCAGCGAGGGCACTGACAGCCTGTACAGCTGGAGCTCAGGGGTCACCTGCCTCCTGCACAGCTCTATCAAGAGGCAAAGCCAGGAAGCGTTTCAAACTCGACTGAGAGAGGAGAGAAGGTGGAGGAAGCTTCCTGGATGTCTCTTCAGAGGGCCTCTTGGCAGAGCTCATCCACAGGCGGAGCAGGTCAGAGGCAGCAACCACAACAAACTCCGCACATCGCCAGAGAGGGGGCTGTGTCAGGGGAGGGGCAGTGTAAAAGTACAATGTCTGCGGGAGGAAACGATCGTAGCCAAAGTGAAGTTTTCACAGTTCTTGGATGAGGTGACATCCAACGTGATTGATCCAAACAGCCTGCAGGCATTTGGGAAACAAGTCTCTCCCTCCGGCTTCACCACCACAAGTCCACCTGAGCCTGAAGACGAGATTCAAGCGGCGACACAGTGGACCCCCAGGCCACCCTGCTCAATGGCCCAACAGCAGGACTCTTTACTCGAGCGGAAGCAGACTCCCCTTGACCCGGCAGAGAAAACCTATCTGGAGACGAACATTGACACAGTGGACCTGGAGGTAAAAGCCGAGATACCGCTCCAGCTGGAGATAGACGAGAACAACGTGATTCCACCTCCTCCACAGTTCTGTGAAAGCTTTGAGATGACGGGTCCCTTTCCGGAGTTTCATCCTGACTTCCCCACGTACCCCTACAGATCTGTCTCTCTGCCCAAGGGCATCAACATGGTGAGTGAAGAAAGTCATCCCAGAACATATGTTATGATTGGAGCCGAAATTGTTTCTCACAGAGTTTGAAGGGATGCCTGAATAAATCAAGTGTTTGGATGATTTGAGTGATTTTTCTAGGGCTTTTCTGTTTTATTATTCAGAGCGTAAAGAGGTACAGGAAGAAATGGGCAAGTCATAATGTTACTAGTGCTTTGTCTAATCCGGTCTATGGGGTTTTGTTTGATTCAAGATTTTAACAAAAGCATACAGGAAAAATCCACACAATAACATAGAATATTTCAAAAAGTTTTAAAAGGAAGATATGTTCATAGAAGAACATATGAAAGAAACTCAGCCTTTATTGTCAATTTGTTTTCACAATCTGTTCATGTTCACGTCTCGCAAGACAAACGCACGAAAAATGCACGAAACAAATACGGTAAACACATACATTTACACATTCAAGCCCTTATCCCCACATATACGCACATGTGCACACTGTAAGAACAGAAAAAAAAATTTACTGTTTGAGTTTACCCTCTCTGTTCTCAGTCGCAGCAGGGAGCTGTTTTGAGTGAAAACACTCAGAACCCCACTGTACACTACCTGCTAGTCAAGCATGTTCACTGAAACAGAGCTAAAAGGAAAGAGAATATTGGACTTTTATTTGTCAGGTGGCTGGAAAAAACACTCCAAATGAATGCTGTTGTTGCTCCGTATCTGCTGGATGTGTAAACAGGCAACTCTTTGCTAATGGCTTCATCAAAGGGTGATAATATGTCAGTGTTGTGATCACAGCTTGTCCGCTAAACAGCCAAAGAAGTCAGTTATTGCAGCTTTTAGGAAAAGTCTCGAGTTATTTTCTGAGAGATTAAAAATTTGGCGTAACATCATGAGGAGTATGAGTAATACCTGGTGGCAATCGGGGGCTCCCCCTACCTAGTGTGTTATGCTGAGGTCTAACACTGGCTCAAAACCCAGATTTCATGGATACAAGCCAAGGCTCTTAGCTAGGCTATAGCCTACACACATCACCAAGGCTAACGTTGTTAACAATAAGGCCAGTCACACAACAACTACACCCTGCAACAGAATCCACACAGCACACTCCTCTCCTCTCTCTCTCTCTCTCTCTCTCTCTCTCTCTCTCTCTCTCTCTCTC